TTTTTTTTTTTTTTTTTTTTTTTCACTAACTTTTTTCATAAACATCTACGAAAATAATGATTCTTTAATGATGTTAAAACTGTCTGAAGCGGAAGTTGCGGTTTTTTTATACTTCAAATTGAAAAAAATATTTTTCTATACTAATGCAGTTGCTGTAGAGTGATAAATTTTAATTTTTTTTTTTCTACAAACAACGTTTTACATGTTTAACAAGTTGTATTTTGATAAAAACTTTATCTTGCCCGGTCAGATTATACAAAATTTTCTTTTTTTTCTTCTCTTTGACACATATAAATAGTGCTTAAAATAAATTCTGAAAACTGGCTCTGATATTACAAATAATTCTTTGTCTTCTAGACAACTTCTTCTTTAGCTTTATTATGCTTTCTTATTATATAAAAACAGCAAATGCTTTTTAGTGCCAGACTTGAGTGGTAAACAGCGCAGCTTTGATAATGCGATCTTCGTCTAATGGAACAGTTCTAAGCTTTATTCAGAAACGAGTTATATCTGTGTTTCAAAAAAATGACTTAGATATTTCAGAAGTCGACAAGATTGTGTTGATTTCGACAGTTTTTTTACTGCTATTCACTTTGTCAATTGCTTATTAAATCAGAAAAAAAGACATTCAAAAAGTTCTTATGACAGTATGCTATGTTTAATTTTCAGATTTTTTTGGTGATAGAATGTGCGATGTTGCTGAAATGCAAGAAAAGTCTTTGAAAATGAAAGGTGATCAGGTCGGTTTTGAAAGCATTATTTTAGAAAATGCCTTTTCCATACGTACTGTCTGCGCGTCTAAAAATTAGCTCAAAACAAAATAAAAGATTAAAAAATGTGGCTTTTTTCTTTTGTACACAATTTATATTCAAAAATTTTCAGTATGTGAGAGAGGCATAAAAGTTGTGATCGGTTTTAGTTGCCGAAAAAAAGTATTGTTAATAGAAAATTATTTACAAATTTTTACAACCTTTAGATTGCGGCTCATTAGCATCTAAATTTATGTTTCCTATTAATAATACATCTCAGAAATAGGAAACTTTAGCTATAAAAGTTCTGAAAAACATTTCCTAGCATCAAGTTTATGACAGCTTCATTTCTGTCAAAACGCCTGTTATCACTCAGTGGTGGCAACTTTATAAGACAATAATCGTTTTTTTTTGTCATTATTCAATTGCTTTTCTTCTGTTAACGGTATTACTGTTTTTCCACTCATATTTCATAAGTTCTTGTTTTAATGTTTTAATAATCAAAAATCATTTATTTTTATGGTCCATCTGCGATTAACCATGAGTTAGAAAGTGACAGCTTTAATTAAGGTGGTAATGCTAGCGTCGGATCATTGTCGTAACTATGTTCGTATTACAAGACTTCAACATAAAAACCTTTTAAGAAGTACAGGAAAACCAGATCTTAGTTTGCAGATGGTTGAAAAGTTCCAAAATCGCAGTAGTCAAAGTAAAGCCAGAAAATCTTCTGGAAGCGATCAAAGTAGCAGCGAAGAGATCGAAGAGTTTGCGTTAACGTTTGGATCAAGTTCTTTAACAAAAATTGATGAAACCACTGAAACTCCACAACGAACTTGGATGAAAAACAGCAATGCAAAGTTTCTCATATTACTTTCCTTTCCTTTCCGTATTTTCATTATTTTTTTAATCTAAATAAAAGATAAAAATTTCCTTTAGCTAATAAATTTCCAGCTAGCAATGAAGCTTAAATATCATTTAGACAACAACTTTTCACGATGCTTACTTGTGCATATCTGCTTCTTGTTCTTGTCGTCGGATTTCTTCTTGAAATTTCACATATTTTCAACAAGAATGATGAAATAATGAATGCTGTAGGACTAAAGGATTTGGTAAGTATTTTCTATGTTTCACCTTTTTGGTGTTTATTAGAAGTTATCGGTAATGATTTTGAAACCACGTCAATAACTAAATTTTCCCAATTTTTTAACAGTCTACAATAAAGAAATTCTAGGTTAAATACCATAAATAAGTAATTTTACATCATCAGTTCACAACAGGCAACTATCAGTCTGCAAAACAGACTTTAAAATTGAAACATTTATTAATATTATCATGCGATTACTGTTCTCAAATAACAGCTAAACAGTTATTTGGTTTTTAATGACAATTTTTTGCTATCAAAAGAGTACAGATTTTAATTTTAGCTGTTTAGTATGTATATGTATGGCGGATCACTCACTTTTCTGCTCTATATTTATACAGTTTTGTTAAGAAACCAATTTGAAATATGGGGAATGAGAAAGCATAAAACTCGGTAGGTACTCGAATTCAAAAATCTTCTGTTATTTACACCAACAAAAAACTGAGGAACTTTTAAAGGTTAAACAGTAACATACTTCAGAAACAACCAATTGTTATTGTAGTTCTAAACTAAGACTGTTTGTCAAAAGCGTTCATTCAATTTTACGAGCTGATTTTGCAACGTTACCATTGGATTCAACGTCTGGCGAAACAATTTCAAATTCAGTACAGAAGCCTCCAACTGGTGGTTTGTTTCTGAGGATTGGATGCATCGGTAATGACAACAGCTGCATATATTTTAGAAAACTACAGATTCTATTTATGAGTGTTTTTTATTTTTGTTGGATTTGTTGTTCTCAAACGAAAGTTTATCAAAGACAAGTAGGCTAAAAAAACCACAGAATCAGTTTAAATAAATGTGACAACTAGAAATGCTTTTTTTATGGCAAATTAAATTTGTGCGCACTTTTAGTGTTTGGTCTCTTTGGTGTGGTTTACTGCGGTTTACTCTCGGTTTTATGTATGTTCGAATATGAGACTGAGGGAAATAACTGTAGCGGATACACAATTGGAAGCACATTACTAGCAATGTTCTTCATTTTTATCCAAATGCATTTTGTCTTCTGCAATTCTTCTGTAAGTTGTATTTTTCATTATTATTTTAAACCACATTGCATCGTATTAACCATTAAAACAGTGGTTTCTGTAAGACACCATTGTTGATGTTCTAAACAATACTTTAAATACCGTGCGATTGAATAAATAATATACTTCGCGCTGCAGATGGAAGGTGTGATCTGAAGAAAGTTGATAGAAATTTATGGTTACTCATTCATAATTATTAGCAATGTAGCTTGTTAGCAGGAGACTAAAAAATTTTTCAAATACGGAAAGATGAAAATTCCAAAAGTTTCTTTAAAAAACTGTGGTAGAAAAAAAGTAAAAAAAAAAGGAGTGCATCGAAAACCTTTGGGAGTTTTCACTTCTAAAGCTAAAAGTAATACGTTTATAAAAGTGTCTCTAAATTCCGCAGAAGAACAACGGATTTGCTTCTTATGAAAACCGCCAGGCCAGACGGCGCGGATGTAATTAAAAAGCTGTGCCGTACAACCTTCTATATGCGGCTCACAAAATGACACGATATTAATTGACGACTACAAAATTTTGGTCACAGTTTGAGGTATTTTGATTGAACGAAACCACTATAGCGGGTAAAAAAATTTTACAACTGCAATAAATGAATTCGTCTTTTTCTTGTTTCTGCTTCTCCGCTTGTGGTCGTTCAGTGACTACAAGCCATTTTTCGTAAAGGTCTTCTCCGATAAAATGATAAAAAAAGAAAATTTTTTTTTCTGTGTTCAAAAATCATTCTTTATTGCAGCAGCGTAGAATTAGAGTCTAAGACTTACTACAAATTTTTATGATAGACCACGCAATTTTCAACATAAGCACAAGAAATCGAAAAGTTAATCGCTTAAAAAAATTTTTTTTTGTAAGCGTATGGCTAAAGAGAGACTAAAGAAGTTTTAAATTATTGTAGCTCTTCATTCAAAAAGTCAAAGAATTGACATATTTAGGTCAAAGAAACTATGACATATTTAACATAGTGTATGACTCAAATGCTTTCTATTTCCAACTAAAGCAAGAAAATAGCTTATAGATTCAATAAGAGATGTTTTTTAAAACTACTCTTTTATGCAGAAGACTTCAGCACTTGATTATATCGATGCTAGTCTGTTAACATATAACATTTTAGCATACCTGATCGTTTCATTGGCAACTTAAACTACTTTACAGATTGTGGTGCATGGATCGCTCAAAATTGCTCGTTTGGGAATGATGCATTTGGTTGCAACAAACTTATGGACATGGATAAAATACATTCTTGTTGAAGAGGAAGTTACCACTATTGAACTACGACATGCCAACTTTTCACTATGCAAGTTTTTATTCAGTTTCCTTTTATTGTTATTTATGTGATGATGAAATTTTGTAAGTGGCAATCTAGAAAAATATTTTATAGTAGCTACTTTTAGATAGTCTCTTTTTACCTAAGCATACAATAGTAATTGTGCCGCATTATTTTTATCTAAAAGTTCAGTAGAATGCGTTCTTAAAATGGTCTGACTTTTAACCGATTTAGCAGAAGCTTTGAGAAACTGTAGAGGGTAGAAGAGTAAAAGTAAGGCTTCTTTCTCGTAGACATCTCTCTGCATCTCGTGACATGAATGTCTTATTAACAAACGAATTCTCTATACCTATCTGCTATATTTACCAGCACTACTCGTTTTTTTCTATAGAAACAGTTTTTTGGCTCATGATACAAACTTCTGCTCTCTAAGCGTCTCTAAATTTTTTATTCATGGATTACCTGCTCGACGAACACGAAATATAGCTTTTACTGTTTTTGCTCTGATTTTTGCAGAAAACGTTTCGAGAAACTTTTTTGTCTCGAATATAAGCTTATTTGCTGCTTTCCAAAATTCTTTAAAAAAGACATCTTTAACAAATAAGTTATCAACTTTCTAAGTCCTGCTTCACTTTTTGCTTCAAATTCAAACTTGTTTGAGACGATGATGTTCTTTGCTGTTACATTTCTGCCGTGCGCCGTCTAAAAATTTTTTGATAGTTAGCTTTTTTAAATATGTAAAGTAAAGACAGTTTTTTTCATTTTTTTTCTTTTCATATTGCAGCTCAAATATTTTCAATTTTACGTAATAGTTCTTGCGACATTCTTAGCAACTCTAACTTCTAAGAATAGAGTTTAGTTTTCAGCACAATTAGGCAGGATAGATGTAATTTTTTATCAGGTTTAGGTCTATTTCAGTCGTTCTTTACAACGTCAATCTGGCAGGCGTTACATACAAGCAAATTCGTTAATTCACGTAATGATAAAAACTAAAAATTTAAAAAAACAAGTTGGATTTTTGTTAGAAGCAAAATAGTAGCTTTCTTGTCATAACTGAAATTAATAAAGGTAAATATTTTGTTTAAAGTTGTTTTCTGAGGTTTTGGTTTTAATTTTCAAGAGGAAAATTGCAATTATTCTTTGCAACATGTTTAATCTAAAGTGCAAAAAGTGTTTTTCAGAAAGGTAGTTTTATCTTTTGAGTGGAAATAGTTTACAACCAAACTCTCAGTGCTATAAAAGGTTGGCGCGAAATTGCCAGATAGATGATCTATGATTTAATTTTAGCAAATCTTAGGTGCTAAGCTTCAAACAAGTCTATTTATACAGAAGCAGAACACTGATTAATCTTCTTTTATAACAGCTTCTAAGCTTTTAAGGCTTGAGATTTGATGCTGCATATATCAAACATACTTGGCTTGCGCTTTATCTTAAGGTTAGAAGTTTTATGATTTTTGAGAGATTCATTCATTTCGCGCAAACCTTATTTGGTAATTTTTAGAAGGTTTTCTTGATAGTAAGAAAGATAAGAAGTCTAAGGCAGAAAACAAGTA